TGGAATTTATTTATTCTAATGTAGCAGCTTATGTTAGGTCACAAATATATCATTATTTAATTATTAACATGATTATAATGTTCAATTTATTCGAAATTATTAAGTTAAACTGATAAATCTTCTGACTGAACGCTTGAATCAGTTTCCTAGGCTCTTTTAATAACCCAAGACTAAATCTACACAACAACTTCAACACGAGAGAAAAGGAGTGAAATGTGTAAAGAACACTAGCTTCAGGGTTAGTTTATGTACAGAAAATCGAGGGATTATAGTGTTCTGTCTAACGTTATTTTATCCTCTGTTATACAGCGTTGTTTGCCAACTATAGATGTATTCCTCTAGTACAGTATAAATCTTGACTGCGAATGGTAACAACTGTTTTGTAAACGATCAAATTTGTATCTCTTATGTGTCGTCAAGTTGTCGTTAGTTTGCATTTCATTTAGCTAAACAAACCTTGTAAGAATTTGTTATAACTTGAGATTTTGTTTCGATTAGGACCTATGGTAATCGTTAATTACAGAATGATTAAGCTTATTCTAATACGAACAAGTTCTATGACGGTTTTGATAAAATAAAATCTGTCACACTAATCACAGATAGGGAAGATGGGACTTTCAGGATAGTTTTATATTTTGAACAGAAGAGAAAAATTAAAATAAAACAACTTTCTATATATAGTAAATCCTATAACTTTGAGACAAAACAAAATTAACAAACTAAAAGCGATAACAACTAATCAGAAAACAGTCGATGTTATGATACAGATATGAATTAGACGAATCCTACCACTCCACAAAGCATTTAGATCTCAATTATAAGACTTTCAGTTCGAACCCCATTTCATTTAATTAAATTTAGGCGGTTATACAGTATTAGTAACTCATAAGTACAAAGAAATTAGTTCAGAACCCATTACATATATCTATACATAGTAAAGAAATTACAATTATTTATAAGTGGCTTTTGAGCTAACTAACTGGTATTTTCCATCAACCTCAATCTGATCTGCCAACTATTTTTGTAGTAAAATCTATTGAAATATTAAGATTATCATAATCTAAACAACCTACATAATTGTATCAATACATTTATCAAGATTAACTGACCCGAGAACAAATCAGAATAGATCAACTGTCAAAATTTTATTATCAGTAGGGGTTTGTGGAGATTTTAGAAATTTCACAGATTGAAATCATGAGTCAATTGAAGCTAGACCATCATGAAAACACTGGACGGCCGTTCCGTCCTAGTACGGGACTCCTTAGAAGTGCGCATCCACGATCCCGCACCCCGCGAGATCCGAGCCCAGGACCTATTAGTCTCGCACCAAGCGCCTAACCAACTAGACCACTGAGCCGGCCGGCATCCAACGGTGTTAATGTCTAACTTCAACCAATCCACGAAGTTGCGCCACCATACACCATTGTCTTCAGTGAGTTGATATCTCACAGCATACCTGGTTGAACTCGACTGGTAACGGCTTCTCACTAGAACTCCAAGAGTATCTCTTGAAGTCAGTCACTAGTGAGGAGATAATTATTATCAGAAGGGGTTTGTGGAGATTTTAGCTTCAAATGACTAATGATTTCAATGTGTGAAATTTTATTATGCCAAATTCTCAAAAAAATACATAACCAGACAAACTAACCCCAACCAACATCCAAACACACATACACATACAAATAAGAGATCAATTATGAAAAGAGAAGAACGAACCACTCAAGTTTATTTATAATTTCTAAAAGTATTAAATTTAAAAGTAGAATCAAAGAAAAACATTATTTCATCTGTTTTCAGGAAAGAGAAAAAAGAAGAAAATCACCATGCATTTTATTGATCAGTCCCTTTTTATTTTATTGTTGATATAAAGAAGTTTTGAGATAGAGAATAAAATCGTTAGGCAGAGAATCCTTATTTTCTAAACCCCACTTTAGGTAAAACTGTTATCTTTACAATTAATTGAATTGAATTGAATTGATTTAATTCAGTTGCTAAATGGTATATTGTTTGTATAAATAGCCTTGAATTACACTCTTTTATATGTGGGAGAGAGTATATGATACTCTACTCTGGTTGACTAGGCTGAAGTGAGATAATGTTTGAATTTGTATTTCAATGAATTAGAAGTTAATTGATTTAAACATTAAGTAGCAACTCGATCAGTTAGTATGATATGTGAAAATATCTTTGGTTTGGTTCCACATAACAAAATGAATAAGCACCGTAAAGTAATTGGAAACTAAGATGAAACAGTTGAGCAACTGCTTTTAGTATTTACTGGTTCTAAAACTTATGTTGATGTCTATAGAAATCTTGATATGGATTGTGAAAGCTCAGTTAACCTTTGCCAACTTGAGTCATTTGTGGTGTAGGTAAGATTTCCCTATCGAAACAGAGAGGGGTATACTAAGTAGAAATCTACTTTCTTCTACTTTGTGACCGTGAAAGACAGTCTTGGAATGTAGAAGACATGCGTAGGCTACATTCTTTTGATTATAGATGTCTTCTAAAAAACAGCTTGCGTTTCATAGAACTATCAAGGGACCAGTAATGTCAAAAACGTCAAATAAGTTAACGAGGTTGTAGATCTTTATTCACTGAGAAGGTTGACGCATATGTCATGAATACCTAAACGCCGATTCCCCCAATGTTTGATGTTAGGTGCTGTAAGTGTAAGCTGGTTGAAAGCTATGGGTAACCATACCAAAACATTCTATCAGTCCATGATGTTATCGACTATTCGTTTTAGTCATATTGGTAGGTGCAGACTTTTTGGTTGAGAAACGCATAACTGTGACCAGTACCTAAGATGTTGAGTGATATGGTTTAGGAAAGATCACAATGGTGAAGATAGCTTCTCTCTTTATCTTACTTGGGATTATGAGTTGCAAGACTCCTCCTTAATATATATCTTTTCACCCTAGCTTTTCGAACCATATTCTCAATCTTTAGTCTTCATCATTATCCTTGAAGCTATATTATCTTAGCTTAACAGATATTTACCTTTATCCTGTCGATTTAACATGATATGGCAACCTGTGGAGACGTGCGTATGTGTCATGTTCTACATTAATTGTGACTGAATGATTGGCAGTTGATATTGGTTCGTGTCAGAGCTCACTTTTAATAACTTAACTACTGCTGTATGTAATATCCGAGCAAAGATTAAATGACGAGTAACTTCTGAGACATATTAACTGACTAATATTATTTATACATTCTTATGGTATAACTATTCAATAATTAGATTATGTATATTTATATTCCTCTTATTATAAGCTTTATTTTGACCTATAATTTATTATTGGACGACTTACTGTTCTTAAGCAATGTTCAGTTTATTGACTACTGCCTCCCACGTTTACAGTCACTTTTTGACTTTATTGTGTACAAATGTTATTTCCTATTTTATGGTGCGCTGCAGTCTGTTTGGTTGATATATAAAACCAGTACGTCTGAAATAAACGATTCGATCCGATTCTCATAGTGGAAGCTGGTATTGGTGTCCTGGACTCAAATGGACGGGCTAGGCGGACATAGGACCAATAAGGACGCTAGGCTGCCCGTACCGGTCGAACGTCATTGGTTTGGCACAGTGCTAAGATTGTATAATTCGTATTCTGATTGGTGGATAAATCACGTGATAAAAAGCCGGACATAAAGTCACAACACTGTACTAAGGTATGATCTAGGACTTTTTTGCATGAAACTTTCGATAAAACTACACTGATAACCAGAAATATACATATAGACCAGCCATGCATTTGATATCTTAGTGAATAAATGACTAAATTTCTAGAAAATGTATAACTACAAAAAAATCAGTGATGTGACCCGCATACTAATAGTAATCATATGATCGTCCGTGTCTAATTTCACGAGGTAATTTTCTAAGAGTTTTAGTACGAAATAGTGATCAATCTAGTTCAACCATATTGGGTATACGATAGTTACTGACCAATGGCATTGGAAGACGGCTACAAAAAGTGGTAAATTGATTGAATTTACACACATAAACCATTAGATTCCAACTTAAGGATCTAAAGGTTAAATGCTCACTGCAAGACCTCAATATCCCAAGTACGATCCCTAAAAAAGGGGTTGTAGATGCCTACTTGATGAAAAACATAAAAGAACGAAACAGCTGTTTATTATTTTCTAGTTTTTAACGATTATTTAACTAACATCAGTCCGTAAAGCAAACTGTGAAATATGCTGTCGAACAGCACAATGGAAGAGTATATAATTAACATGAACAAGAATTCGACAGTAAAACTGATTACTTGGAATAAATGAGTGGTCAGGTAAAATAAAAATGAATAAGTGTATTAAATAATAATTGGTATTTTCATAGTTGAATTCATGAGTCCATCTAAGCTAGACCACCATTGAAAACTCGGAATCCCTGGACGGCCGTTTCTTCCCGGTACAGGACTACTGAGAAATGCATTTCCACGACCCTGTACTCGAGACTTCAACCCTTGACCTTAGGTCTAGCGTGTAAACGCTCGTAAATGCTTAGTTTACACTTTATATTAGTGTCAGTTGTTGCATAATAGTACATAGAAAAATATATCGATCATTACATAGACATTTTAAAATAACATTATAATATATAATGATTGTAAATGTACTTTTTTCACCGTGGGAATTATTGGGGAAATTGCTGAAATTTCATATTTTACATTACGAACTAATCTTAGTTAGATAACCACTGAAAACGAAGAATCACTTGGAGATTATTTCATCCTATTATGGAACTATTCAGCAATGTACATCCAAGATCGATCCAGAGATTACAAACAGGAACTTTAAGTTTCGTGGAAAACACTTAGCATTTAGGCCATTGAATCGACATTGTAGATTTGGATTGTTGGGGAGTTTTATATCGAGAGAAGATTTTTTTCAGTGCTTCTTAGTTTTCATTAGTTATCTAAGATAATTTCATGACGTAAAATATGAGATTAACTTTTTTCAAAGGAAAAAATAACACATACCATTTTACATCATCATTATGTTCCAAATAATGTCTTTGACATTGCTCTTCAATATTATACAATACTACAACAGCTGCAACAAAATAAATTAACTCTCCAGTTGGAAGATAATGTAAATTATTTCGACAGTCTCGCCCACGATAACCATAACTAAACAGAGATTATGATGGTGATGACGTAACGAATTATTAGGATGATAATTAAGGAGAATATTTTAGTTCGAATGATATTACAGTGAAAAAATACTTTTTGAAAAAAGGAGTTAAACATCTTCACAAACCTCCTATTCTAGTAAATAGTGGTAATCATTTGTTCAATAGGGACTGATTTCGACGAAAATTCTCAAATTATAAGCGAGATATGACTAGTAGAGTTTCAGATGTCATAGAGGCAAAATCAATGGTAATGGATAATGGTTGTGCATTATCGTGAAAAGCGGACAACCCCATATGGTTTAAACATATCGTGCTCACTGGGAGAACTAAATATGTTGAGATAGATTCTTAGCGGAGACGTGATCATCCACTACTGGAGAGTCACTTATTAGGATGAAAAATATTTCTAGTGCTCCCTGGTTCCAAGTAGTCAACTAGCTACAATTAGTCAACAATCTAAACGATTTTTTGCTGAATAAAATAATAAACAACATTTCAATTTATCATTAGAGTCCGACTTTTGAAGTACAAAGACTCTTCAATTAACTGAGTGTTCTGTATAAAACAAGAACTAAGGGCCTACAAACCAAGATGTGGCATCAGTTTATGAAGCTATTGACCGTTGATTTGAGCTATTTTAATGGATACAAACCACCTGATTGAGGTCCACGCAATTAATAGGCAAAATTTTAATTAATTTAAGAAAATTTGTTAAAGAGTAATGATTTATGAAAGTAAATACAAAATAAAAAAACAATCCACAAAAAGGATACATCCATTCCAATTTCAACGTCGTATCCGGTGCTTTCAATGGAATTGACAAATCATAATTATGCATAATTTGCGTAGGCATATAAACATTGACTGGACGTCCGCGAATATAAAATCGTAGAATTCCATCACCTGGTTAGCAAGATATTTTTTTAAATATACAAAGTAAAATAGAATGGAAAGAGAGAAAATAAAACAGGAAAATTGATAATTGTATCAGATTTTCAATATAGGAAAATGGCCGTTGCTGAGGAGTCCCGTACCAGGACGAGACGATCGTCCATTGCTTCCAGGTTTTCAATGGTGGTTCAGCATAGATCGGTTCATGATTTCAATGAAACTAAAGAATCTCTATAGCCTCATGTTGATAGTCATCATGTGCTAGCTAGTGACTAGCTTCGAGAGGAAATTTCCGAATTTCTTATGAGAAGCCGTGACCAGTAAAGCTAATTTGTATAAGGTGAAGCAGTTACCCATGGGAGACAATGGAAGATGGTCGCTTAATTCCGTGGATTGATTGAGGCTAGATATCAACACCGTTGAACGCCGACTCAGTGGTCTAGAGGTTAAGTGTTCGAGAGCGACACTGAAGGTCCTAAGTTTGAATCCCGCCTGTGGGCTTGTGGATGTACAATGCTAAGATGTCCCATACTAAGGTGAAACGGACTTGTACTGCTTCCAGGTTTTCAAAGGTTGTGCAACTAAGATTAACTCAATATTTCAATGAAATCGTATCACAAACTGATCACAGTTGTAGAGCTAGTAGGATTAACCAATGTAAACAGGAACAAATTTGTTCTATCTCAAAACTGTCTTACAGTCCATGCGTATTCATGATATCTTGCATAATCGTATACAGAAAATCTGTATCTGGCTGCTCCACTGCTAACGTGTTGAAATAAAACTTTAAAGGAATGGTGTACTCTGATTTTGATATCTTGAGTAGACTGATGTCCCTGGTGAGAAATGCGGACTCACTTTACCCAATGTGATAGAAGAAAGACATAAACGTAGCCATGACTGACCTCTTTTAGGACTAAGATATCACATTGGCTGACTACTGAACAGTAGACATTGTTATGTGTACCTAATCCTCAGAGGTGATCGAATTCCAATCAAATGATCAGTAGATTTAGAACAGCAATAAAGACTAGACAAGCATGATATAATGGTCAGTGATCAATTACCGTTGAAGATGAAAATTAAATTACAAATAATCAAGTGATTACATTTTTTAAAATGGCTTGCTAGGCTTACATCTGTATAATTTATTTGGTAAAAAACTAGATTTGGCATTTATTTCCTGATCGTTTATTGTATTCTTAAGTTTACCGCTTTTAACAACGCTAACTACATACCTCATTGGTTTTAGTGATCTGACCTTCTATTCTATTTATAAAGGTGTAGTAGGCACACCTGAATCGATCTTTTGACGTAGAACCAATATCTCTCTTGGCGGACAGTTGTTCTTTTATGTCTAGATTCGATATGGTAAGCGAGTGAGTTCAAGAGGATACAGTGTTTCTTCATCGTTCACAATGCTCATCATAGAAGAATATTCATGATAGGCAATTTAATAGTATCAGAAAGATATATCAAAGTGACAAATTTATTCACATGTATAAATACAATGCGCAGTTAGACTATACATATGGTGGGACTCGAAACTGAGTGTAACAGTGGCTTGACGAATAAAACAGTAGACGATTCATGTCCCAATTCCGCTCAGTAAACATCGGTTTGGTTAGCCGAGTAATATTACTAGCCCTCCTCTGTACATAAACTAAAACACCATAGCATGAAGCCGGATAAATAATCTTTAGCAAATGAATTGGATTATTAAAAAAATTGAAACAAACCAATTAAACTGAAAATATTATTAGTTACCTGGTAAATAAGTAGTTTCCTTGGAGCTAAAAGATTTATAGAAGAAAAAAAAGAGTAGGAAACAAAGTATCAATTATAGGTTTACCCAAATGAAAATAAACGACTGCAACTAAGTGATAAAAACTGAAAATAAAATGAAAATGTTACGTAACTATACACAACGTATCTCCCTTTCTATAAGTGCAATTATAAATAGTAACGACATATACAAATCACCAGTGTAGTGTTAAACATTTAGTGTATTACAGTTTATGTATGGTGAATAAAAATTTTGATAGTTATTGAATGCTTAATACTTTTCTTTCGATGGAATTTATGAAATAAGTGAGATTGTTAGTCACAAAAACAATAATTATAACTAAAAGTATTAAATCAAAAACGCTTAAATCACACCAAAACATATTATAAGAATATGTGGTAGATCTTGACTTGCTCATCATCATGAAATTTGGGTATATATGATGGTTTATTCACTGATGGAATCGTTTCTCGATTTGTAGGACATATTGCTACTCCACCAGGTTTCCAAGCAGTAGGATGAAGAGAACGCCCAGTTGATGTTAAATGTACAGAACGATCATCGGAATCATTAGCACAATAATATATTGAGGAAGATGGTCCAGAGGATGGACGACCACGACGAACAAGATTTGGCGGTATACATAAAGATGATGGTGGGAGAGCAGGTGGTGGTGGTGGTGGTGGTGGAGGTGGAGCAACTGTATGATTTTTCCGAAATGATGAAGACATAGATACAGAATGTTGTTGGTGTTGTTGACTTGTAGGACTTTGACAATGATTCATTCGATATATATCATCTAATTCACCATCATAAGCTGATCTCCAAAATACTGTATAACCAGATGGTCCATTAGAAGCTTCATAATATCGTGAAGATGTATTCGATTTTAAAGTGGATGATTTTTGTTGGTAAGTAATAGGTTCACTTTGTCGTGACATTATCATATCATTATATTCATACATAGATAAAGTTTTGTTGTCACCTTCATGTTTATTATTATTGAAATTATTAAATTGTCTATCCTCTGAACTAGCACTAGTAATCCGATTTCGTCTAACCAATAATTAATAATAAACACAAATATATATATACTACTAACACTACTACTACTAACTTAAACACTTGGTAGTTATGTCAATAAAAAAAGTCTCACAGGTATACTAACTATGAAGAAGTTTCAAATATAATAAACATTTAACTAACTTAATAAATTAAAATTTCTATCTATAGTATTATTAAAAAAGGAGAGTGTTTTAGAACTTGCAGTGAAATTTTCCTCGCAAAAGTACATCATTTCAGTAACTGTTCAATATTAAGGGATATTGAAATTACTGTTAGGGGCTCCGCTCATGAGGACTTATAAATACTACTAAAATACATACCAATTTTGCGTAATCAGAACTAATATTGTGAAATTACATACATGATTACGTGTTACGTAGAGTGAAGCATAAACAATCAAATTGTATGATAGTAAACTACAACATTACTCTTCTAAATAAACCATATCAGCTAGTGGAAACTGAATTTTAGTAGATAACCAAGGAATCACTGACTAAAGTAGTCTCAATGTGGTTATCAACACTGGGACTGAAGTCCATCCATCTGAACAGTTCTAAACAGGACAAAACACGCCTCCTTGATTTCATTACTAGCCACTATCCTATTTTATTCAAAGAATTGTGGCTTGATAACAATACCAGGACAATGCGCTCAAGATGCATGTATGCCAAGAGACTGATCGGTTGCCGTCCTTAAAATCAGAAATGGGAAAACGTAAACCCCTTACAGATAGTGAAAATTGAGTTTTAACAATCCAGTTTACATACAGAGGTTCGTGGAAGTGTGCATGTGTTTTTGTGTGAAACATATCAATCGAATATAGCGTTGATAATATTAACTGGCAGGTTAAATTAGAGGGAGTGGCATGTTAGTTACTCCCCCAACGATTAAATGGACATAAAGAAGTGTCTAAAAGAGGTAAATTGATCAGTTTTTAATATTGTTGCAATTACCATTATCATAAAACGTTTTTGGCTTGAATCACAAACTGACTTTAAGCTAGACAACCGTTGAAAACTACAGCGCATGTAGACAGATATTTCATCTGAGTAGAAAACACCTAAAAGTCAGATTATGCCCCTCCAACAGTTGCTGAAGGCCCTGAGAGTCCTGTCCATGATGCAAACGTAGGTCCGCACTCCTGAAAGAGACTTCATACTGAGATAATAAATAATAGTCTGTATTTATAATTTCAGTCATTTCGCGATGTTGTACGACCATCATTCATTGTCATTGGTGATATGTCACATCCCCAACATGGTGGAACTCTACTGGTCACGGCTTCTCACTAGAAGTTTAGGAACTACGTTTTGAAACTACTTACCAGAAAGCACATAATGATTGTAGTTTTGGATGTTACTAAATTTAAATCTTCACATCACAGACTGAATTCGACACCTAGTGAGATGGTCATGCTAAAGGAATTCCATACTAGAATGGGGTTAGAGTTAAAGTTGTCCAACTGAAGCCGATTTATGAGTTGAAACTTAAAATCTAACCATTTTCAATACAGCCTATAATAACAAGATGCTTTTTTTACTTATGAAATATAAACATAGATTCTTAGATAAACAAACAATGAATTTATATGAAGTAAACCAATAATCAATCAATCTAACATGAATTCCATTGTTTAATAATATAATAACCAAAGTAATAATCAAAATAAACACCTTGTTTGATTTGTTCCACCGCTAACACCAACCGCTTGATTATTTAAAGTAGTTGATGATGAACTTAATCGAACACTTTGAGGACTTTTTAAACGAGTTCTTGCTGTTGTACTCGTTGTTGTAGAATGTGGAACAACTAATGAACTGTCACGTGAATTTTTCGATTGATGTCCAGTAGAAGTAGGATTACGAGAACTTGTATGTCGTCTTGATGAATAGGATGAGTCAGTACGTGAATTAGTTTTAGTCACATTGGAGCCTAGGAAAAAATAAATAAATAATAAATTATTATATAACAAGTGAAAATGAATGATTAAGCTAACGATTGTTATCTGAGTGAGAAAAGAAACAATATGATTGTGAAAATTAAATAGAGTAATAATGAAGTTACATAATACATTGGTGTAGTAGTTTACAGGCATAACATTACACAATACGTATATATGTGTACACACATAGATATAATGACAACAAACACGTTGGTGTAGTAGTTTACATGAATAACATCATATACTTGAAGAAGTTTGTTAAAAAAATTATCCAATAACACAACTGATCGGATGAATAAATAAATGGATCAGACAAACAGACATTTTCATTAGATAAGTTAAATAATTCCACAGATTGAAATCATGAGTCAATTGAAGCTAGACCACTATGGAAAACCTGGAAGCACTGGACGGCCGTTTCATCCTAGTATGGGACTCCTCAGCAGTGCGCATCCACGATCCCACACCCCGCTCACTGAAGACAATGGTATACGGTGGCGCAACTTCGTGGATTGGTTGAAGTTAGACATTAACACCGTTGGATACCGGTTCAGTGGTCTAGTTGGTTAGGCGCCTGGCGCGAGACTGATAGGTCCTGGGTTCGAATCTCGCGCGGTGCGGGGTCGTGGATGTGAGCTGCTGAAGAGTCTCGTACTAGGATAAAACGGCCGTCCAGTGCTTCCAGATTTTCCATGGTGTTCTAGCTTCAATTGACTCATGATTCCAATCAGTGAAATTTCTAAAATCTCCACAAACCCCTTCTGAAGTTAAATAATTATCAAGGATTAACAATTGAATGAACAAAAAAAGAAAGCACGAAAAAATTCTGTTAACAAGAGATACTAACAAGAAGAGTCTAGACAAACACAAATGTCTACAGTTAATAGCTGCTAATGAACAATAGTGGTAATAATAGTAAAAATAAATAGTAAGGTTTCAAAATTAATTAACATAATGTGGTTATAACACAGAACATATTTAAAAGTACCGTAACCAGTAGTGTAACATCTTAGTTTGGATGTTTAATTAAATGATTCCCAAGAGAAAGAAAGCATCACACCACCATTGTCAAAACTTCAATCTGCATAAAGTGTAGTGTGTAAGTATGGAATTATGACGTTGACGAGTTCTATAAGCTAGATGGTTAAATTTTCCGTTAAGACATTGGTCTGGTCGCGGATATACATTGATGATAAGTCGTATACTAGGATAAAGCACCTGTACAGTGTGTTCCTAGTTTTAAAAACTGTCTCCAATCTGAAGGTGTTGGTCTAAAAAGTGAATATTTTCCACGAAAACTTCCTGTGATAATATTAACCAAAAATATATTCACGAAAAACTACACTAAGATGACTTTAGTGAGAGTATAATACATGGATGAACTAAGAAAATAACGGTGACAAGTTTTCATTTACTTCTTAGCCCATCTGTAGAAGTGTCGACAAATAAATTCTGAGCAAAAATTCAAGAGGCATAACATGATTAGTTTGTCCATAAAATATATTGCCAATTGGCTTAAGTTTATTTCAATATTAAGGGGTTATGATTCAAATATAGGAATAGTGTCTATTTCCCCGTTATATACAATCTATAGGGATACAATTAAGCATTCGATACGTTCATCATTATCCCTTTCACTCTATAGTGATGAAAAATATGAAAGCTAACGGATACTCATTCACCTAGTTATCAGGTACAGAATTATGCGCATGGTTTTAAATGTGAGAGCTAGAGATACTAACTAGTTACGTAGACAGAAGTATTTTGAACGAGGTTTGAGTCTGGGATTTATTGACTAAAAGTTGAACACTTTAGTCATTGATTCAAAAAGCTGAACCCAACTTAGGTGAGGTACTCTTTGAATCACTCCAATTCTCAGGTGGTTAAAGCATGGACGATTTATAACCACTAAACCGCTACTCCATTAGGCATATTTATCTAACCGAATAACCAACCATCGGAAACATAAATAACTAGGTTATTAGGTAACATATATACCACTGAATGGTCGCTGAATAGTGACCAATGTCATATTGATCAGATTCTATCGGTCTAGTTGCATTAATCTGAATGACTCAAGATTGCGTGCATTATGTTGAGGTGTTAGGTGGTTGGAAGTAATCGGCAGGGAGCCCTCAACCAAGGTTTAGTGCTAATTCAATGGAATACAATCAACACTGAAAGATTAGACAAATATGACATCAGTTATTACTAAATATTCAGTCAATTGTAAGTATTTCAGTCCTATAAAAAACTCAGTAGCAACCTGAACAACACAGACTGTGAAGCTGGGTGACATGAGTTGAGATTCATTGAGCAGTATTAGTTCCGTCGAGATTGTAGGTAAGTTTTGGTGATGATTACCAACTAACAAGGAAGCTAGGTTGAGCACAGTATCCTGCCGACCACCTACAACCATCCAGTAATCCTATATCAAACAGCTATCCTCAGTGCCTAAGCAGCCATCTGATCTCTGTTTAGGTGTTATCTTAAGTAATCAAAATAACAAAGTCTATTTCGTTACCTCGTGTACTAGATATAATTGAACAAATCAACAAGAATATTCATAGTTTACACTATGAACTAATCTTAGTCAGAGTTATTGAAAACCAGAAAGTACTGGAAAATTATTACGTCCTAGTGT